TCCTTCCACTCCTGCTGGTCTGAAATGTTTGCTAATGTGTAGAGTCATAGAATCATCAAGGTGGAAAAGACCACTAGGATCATCCAGTCCAGCCACCAACCCATCCCCACCATGCCCACTGACCACATCCCTCAGTGCCACATCCCCACTTGGCTTTTTTGCTTAAGTTCAGTTCACACATCATAGTCCTCTTTACATGAGGCTACAAGTGATTTACTAACCACTGTCATTAATGAGGGCTTAGGCAGAAGCAACCACACCGCACTGTCTAATGACTCAACTCTAATCAACCTCACAACATAACTGAAGAAATAGGAAAAAGAACATTCAGTGTGTGCAGTGCTATTTTTCAAAGGACGAGGTGAGGATATACGTTTATTGCAGCCTGGAATAATCAGCGATTAAGCATGAAATACGTGCTCCATACATGGAGCTTGAAAAAGGGCTTTCAAAAATGAAGGGCGATTGTTCATTAAGAGAAATGCTACAACGCAGCGCTGTCTGGGGTTGGCCACGTCCCACACCATTAGCACACCACCATCACATTGAAGGGATTCCACCTGAGGCTTTTGTTCACCCTGCAGACAGTGAGACTTATTTTCTGCAGGGATGAAAAAAAGCAGAGAGAAAATGTGGCAGGTAGCGAGCAGGGCTGAGAGGGGCTAATGCTGCTCAGTACACTTGGCAGCCTAATTAGAGGAAAAAACATGTGCTTTCTATGGAAAGAGGGACAGCGTAAGGAGCAAGGAACACGTGAAGGGATATCAAAGCACTAACAGCTATTTTTCATACTGGAATTCAACGCTGACCCCGAGGTGCCCCGGTAAAGCTGTGCTTTGATAGCAAAGCAGTATAAATGGTAGAACCCTTTAGGTGACTTTCCTTTTTTATATATTAATATAGTTTCTAAGGCGCAGCCGACTTGCCAACAAGAAACCCCACATCCAAACCAGTAAGTAAAGGCTGGTCAGCTGAATTCTACCACACCGATCTGTGGTCCAACACTGCTGATTCATATTGATAATTACACAGGCCCTTATGAATGACTGAGCTCTGAAGTCATAAACGAGTAATTACAGAGAAGTGATCGTACCACTACACGCAGCGTATTTGCTGATGTGAGTCAGGTTTAATTTCCTTTTAATTGTTTTTCATAATGCATTACACGTGGGATAGTCCTGTGTGCAGAAATGCAATAAACCTTTCCTCGGGGTCAGCAGTAATTTTCTCTCAGAGCAGAACGCAACACTTTTATGTCTTTTTTTTAAAAGCACAGAGTTTGGAAAGTGTAAAGAACAGTTTGGTGAGAACTCAGCAACAGCTGCAAGCTAGTAAAGGTAGGAAACATCACCAATTTCCAGCCCTAGATTGATGCATCTTCTCTTTTCTTGGCAAAAGGGGACAGTTCTTCTAGTGTGCTCCATCCCAACCCATCCCAGCTGCTTCCCCTCCACTCCCTGGCATTGGAATCCCCTCCTCTTCCTATGCGTCCTCCCTTTGCTGCACCCACCTTAGGATGGCAGCACGGCTGGAGGTCGGGGCCGGTTCCTCCATCACTGGAATGTGGCAGCATCAGAATGAACCCCGGGAGACAGAAGGTGTGCAGCTGCAAATGAAATGGAGAACGGAGCTTTCAGACTGAAAGCATTTCCGTGCACACTCCATTTCTGCTTGCTAGCAATGGCCAACTTGATCCATTTTTTGTTCTGCTGTGTCTCTTTGTGAGAGGAAGATCCCCTGTCTTTTGTAAAAGATGCCACTAAATATTTTTCTCCTTCCCTTTCATCTCGTATCGGCCATACATCACAAATGAGGCAGAACAGACTTTAGATGCTGATTGTCAGTGAAAGGCAAGAGGAGCTTCCTAGCAACAAAAAGGATGTCTTCAAAAGGAGACCATTTCATCCCATCTCCTTACAGATTCCTTCCCCTGATCTCCTCCGCCGATATAAAAGTCTGCCAGCAGGGGATCCCCGTTAGGAAGTGACCAGGAGTCTGAAAACCCGTTATGCTCCTGGCAAACATTGTCATCTTGTACATATTTAGCCTGATCACTCTGGCAAGTTATGAAAGACTAAATGGTGCAAACACATGTGGCAGATGCCGTTCTCATGATAGCCCAGGAGCCTTTGAGCCTCTGTTGGTAGCATGCCAGCTCCAGCTTGTATACTGAAGAGCATTATACTTTCAAGCTTTCTCCGGCTTGCCCTGAGGGACTGCTGCTGAAGTGGCAATAAAACTCTGAACGAGCCTCCCAAAGTCGACTTGTTGGTTTGGCTTCAGATGGGCTCTTCTCATTATTACCAACGTGAAGGGCCATATGCAGATCTGCCTCCTCCAAAGCACCATGTGTTCCTTTAGAAAGGTGATTCCAGTGGGGAAGAAGGAAAACGCAGGGCCAGCAACGGAAGTGAGAATTGATTCCATCAAGCACTTCTTTGAACGGCCTCGGATGGTCGCATTTCTTCAGGTGAAGGGAAGGAGCTCCACGTGTGGGAATGCTGATGTGCACAAAACAAGCAGGTTTTCTTGGTCGTGCTGTGCCGGTGATGGTAGCAGCAGCACAGTGAACAACATAAACACAGCGCAGTGTGATCATCCCCATGCTAACACTGAGCTAACGGTTTGGGTTGGGTGGGATTTTTCTCCTGAAATGGAACTGTGATTAAATATTTGGGGAATATCCTCTTCTCCTGCTGCCCCTTCCTTCCAGGTATGTCATGCTTCAAAGAAAGGTACCTGAAGCAGGGCTCAGCTCGAGCAAATCTCACATCCAACCTTGCGGCGTTTGTAACAGCATCAGTAACAGCACTGAGCCTCAGCACACTGCTGCAAGGAACATATTGCAACACTGCGGTGGCCTGTTTTTCTGGCCTTTATTAATCCAGAAACCTTAATGATGAACAACATTTGTGTCATTGTCTACACAAATTTAATTTGTTTATGCAGCAGTTCAGTTAATCCTGCAATCTGCTTTTCTCAAATGAGGACAGATAATGGAGACACCGTTCTTTACAGGTCTTTGGGCTTTTAAATTCTGATAAAATCAGGATTCTTCACTGGGTCTTGCCACAGCTCTGAATTAAGCCACTTTAAATGTAATTACTGGAGCTGGCTGTACATCAGGAACATCCATTAAAAGAATTGATTGGCCATGCTGTTGCGAGAGGCATTTCACGAACAAACGATCCTGATGGGTCCAGAACTGTCATTTATAAAGGCGAACAAGCAGGTAAATACTTTATTAGCGGTTAATGAGAGGTTCACAAGATAACTAAATTTCTTCTTTTTTAACCAGCTACTTCAGGGAGCCGTGGTCCATGGCCATCTATCACGACCGCTTTATCGACCTCCAGAAGGAGCTGCGCCAGATCCTGCTGTCAGAGCAGGTGAGAGAAATGCCATTTTATCATTTGGGTCATCTGTCCATGCTGTTCGCTTTCAGTTCCTTCTCCCATCTTTCTCCCAAAGCTCTGTGCTCCTGTCGAGCTATTTCCTGCACACATCCCACACCCGCTGCCCTGTCGGTTCCTCTCAGTCTTTGCTGGGTTTTCAGATGTGCCAGCAGCACTCCCCACGCAGTCACTCCGTTTTCCCACGCAGCACAAGCGGCCTGCCAGAAATCCCCACCTCATTTCTTACCACTTTCCTGGTGTTTCCTAATCGGAATACACCAAATGCCAACCTAAACCTGTCTCAGGCGAGCCTGCGGGCAGCAGGTTTCTCAGCACCTCCCCACAGGGAACGAAGGGCAACTGATTTTTCTCAGCCACGGGTGAATTTCCCGAGTAAAGACGGATCAAATGCTCACTGATGCTGCCTGAAGCCTTACACCGCAGACAAGAGCCATACAGTCCCACAGCTCCGAACCCAAACCGCCACCTCGAACCACGGGCCGTGGCTGACACCCCACCGAGCTCCTGACTACAGGAGGGCCGCTGCGGGAACGGCGCCCAGCCGAAGCGCCGCGCCGCTCCGCCGGCTCCTCCCAAGGGGCCCGGGGTACGGGAGGGGATGGCAGGGAAGCGCAGCGCTCCCACGGGCGCACCCGAACGACTCGCGACTGTCTTTCCCCGCAGGTTCCCGCGGAGCGGCAGACCGAGGACAGCCCCGTCCCACCGCCGCTCGCTCGCTCGGCCGTGCGCTACCTGCTGCGGCACGGCGCGCAGCTGCCCATGTACGCCCGCGGCCGGCCGGCAGGTGAGCGTGGAGCGGGGCGCTGAGCTCCGCCTGGCGGCCGCGGCCGCTCCGACCCGGGACCGCGGTGGGGGTTGGGGTTCGGGGGGGGAGGTCGGGGGTCCGCGCGTGGGGCGCGGCGGGGGGGGGGCGCGGCGGCGCGTGCCCGCAGCTGTATGCTAATGGCCGCCCCGCCCCGCGCTCCCGACCCCCGGCCCCCCTCCCCTCCCTTTGTCCCCTCCTTCCTCCCCCCGCCACCCCTTTGTGCCGGCTCCGCGCAGCTTTATGCTAATGCCCGGCACAAAGGCGGCCGCGGGGGGCTCGGGGGGGCCGAGCGCGTGCCGCCCGCGTGCCTCCCTCGGGAGACGGGGAGGGGAGGGGGAGAGAGGGGAGGGGAACGGGGGGCGGTGGGGGGGGGGGGGGGGGG